GCAACTTCCTTGCCTTCCTTCTTCACGCAGGACCCCCCCAAAGTGCCCACAGGAGGAAAGAAAAGTAGGTGCGGGTGGACCGTGAATGGAGCCGGACTCTTCCAAGATAGGAAGGTTGTAAAAGCACCTCCTGCTGCTCTGTGTCCTGTTTGGACCTCGAGGGACTTAATTTTCTGAAATAATGATGCTGACCAGATTCCAGGCACGCTGGGTTATCAGGCTCCGACGCTTTGTTGCTAATTAGAAGCCCGAGCGGATGCCACCTGCAAAATATATATGTGCATTTGGAATTAGAAGAGCAGGATTCCTCTGCATATATATATGTGCAAACTGAACTGATGTCCCACGAAAAGCCTCTCATTTGACCTAAATTCAATTCGTCCTAACTAGAGTAAACCTGCTGAATCATTTGCTGAATGGTGAGTCGGTCTGGCTCCTCTACACACTGGTGCTTCTTTGCTGGTTCTGGGATTGTTATTCTGTTTTTGTTATTGTTGCGGATTTGACTACGTCACCCTTGCGTTTGTGTCCAAACATGGGAAAGGTGATTTATTACTGGATGCTCTGAGTTGTCCTGGTACTGCCTGTCCACACATAATGTGGAATTGGTTACAGACATCTCCCTCCAAACACAGGTTGCCCTCCTCTTTGCCTATATCCTCCACTCTGATCTCCTTTATTTCACTCCCTCCTACTATGCATGAAGGGGTGGAGATTGACCAGCAGAAAAATGGCCATAAGGTCATAATAGTCTGTCAGAGGATCAGCAAAAAGAATGCAGTACTAGGCTGCATATGAGCAGATCCTGCACTTGAGTGATTTGGGAGCAAAGCAGGAAAGAAAACACCTTGAAAAACCCAGAAAATAAGTTAGTTGTGTTCCTGTTTGACTCTGTTGACACTAGTTTCAGCTTTGCATTGGGCAGACATCAGGATACAGCACCAGTGTCATAGGGGTGAGGGAATTTGAACAACCACTTGGTGTGGATAAGTGCAACATTTATGTAAAAATGTTGATTTAAGGGGTTTACTCTAGCTGAGACTACCAATTGGTTACCCATTCATCCTCCTACTGCTGAGTCTTAACTGAAATAAGGATGAACTTATGGTGCTTTCTAATTCCACATACACAAACTGAGGTAATAGTTTAATTTTCCCAGCTATGGCACAGTGTCCTCTATCACCCCTGAGAACAGCAAACTAATTTAATATAAGTAGGATAGGTTATACAGCAGCCATACCTTTGTCATACAACATGTCACTGCAACCTCTTCATGCTTTCATTTTCTGTGGCTTCAGGCAGCCGCTTCGCTCTCCCTGATAATAAGCTTTGTCATAATTGCAGAGGCCCAGCTACTTGATTTCACCACCAGAAAAGTGCCTATAAGGAAATTAGTGCAAGAATCAGTACGGAACAATGCAGGATTCAAGTCCTCACGAGTACTGGGGCAAGTGGGAGCAAAGCAGAACAAAACAGACCTGGAAAAAACTCAGAAAGCAAGTTGATTTTGATTTCATAAAGGTTTGTTGCCAAAATATCGTAACAAAAGTAGGAACTATGGCCACAACTACATTTTCAGTAAGGACTAAAATTGTTTCGCAGCAATTCTGGTCATTTCACATGGTGTGAGACCAGGTGCCATTTTTTTGAAAGTAAACATTGTACCAGGGCCTCCATCCCAGCCAGCTAGTGCCAGGAGACTTCCTGCCTACTGAGAGTGCTGGGGTTGGCATTGACATACAGCAAAGACAGAGCCACTGGAGCTGCCCTCAGGCAAGAATAGTGCTGTTTCCAAGTCACCTGAGAACTGGCTGGCTCCCAGCATTGTTTTAGCTGGGATGAGGCGACTCCAGTGGCTCCTTGTTTTTTCCTTCATGGCAAGCATTCAGGGCTGCCCTGACCAGCACTGTCAGTACCAATGGGAAGCCTCCCATTGCTAATAGCAGGCTGCTAATCTGCAGGCTGGGGACTTAATAGTAATCATTTTAGAACTGCAGAACTGGAAGGGACCCTATGGATCATGGAGTCCAGCCCCTGTCAAGGAGGCACAGCAGGGAATCAAACTCCCAGCCTCTGGCTCTGCAGCCAGAGACCTAAACCACTGAGCTATCCAGCAGTTCCCGCACCCTGCTTTAATGGGAGGATATGCATTAAAGCAGGACGTGTAAAACAGGTGGTTTCATGCCGGTTTTCAAATAAGCTGCAGTTTTTAAAAAAAAACTTGCTGTGGATTATCTGAAATATGTAGTTCCTGCCTGTGAAATCCTCATGATCTTGCTCTTGTTTTCCTAACTTCAGTTATAAACTATGAGAAGTTTATTAACTCAAGGGGATACAACTGTAGTTTCCTTCTCCAGTCCCAGCGTTTACAATCGTGTTCCAAGCTACCATAAAGAAAAAAAGGACCAGAAAAGAAAAGCAAAGTCACCAGACATATCGGAGTCCATTTTTATATATAAATTTTAGGTAGTAGATAGATACGATAATCAGCAGATGAAAACCATCACACCCTCCCTTGTCTTGCAAAAAGCAGCTTGGTTGTCATTTAGAGTTCATTGAAACAATTCCAGAATTTCTGCTCTGATTCAAACTCACAGAATTTTATGTGGATTGTGTTCTTACATCTTCATGGGCTATCAAGACTCTGGGGGTTTTGTGGGGTTTTTTGTTTGTTTGTTTGTTTGTTTGTCTTTTGCCTGATAATGAGGACTGCAGGATTTGTGTGTTTCTGACCTTAAACTTTAATGTGCTCCCAGTATTAAATTTCAGTTCACTATCTGACAGTTTATGTTATTCTGTCAAACAGTGTATTATGTGCACCTAACAAATAGTGGAATTTTCAGCTTCAATCCATGGATGCCTCTATCCCGTAAACATTCCTCTGCTGAGAGTCCTCTGAGAATTCATAAGGATCACTAGTGAACAGGGCTGTCTCAAAACATTTTGCTGCCTAAAGCAGAGCAGCAGCCAGTACCCCACCCAGCTTTACTTACTTACTTACCCCACCCAGCTTAAAATGCATAGTATCCAACACCAATTGTAATTTTCTCATTTGAGATAGAAAATTCCAGAAGTATCTGTTGCCCACTCTGGCGTTAACAATTCCATAACAACCAATTAAATATCAAACATTTTGCTGTCCTTGTGTGACAGCCCAAATGTGCTATTTGAGGAAGTTGCCTCAACTTGCCTCTCAATAAGGCTGGCCCAGCTTGTAAACTACAATACGTTTGCACCAGTTTTACAGGTATGTATTATGATCCTACTATTAATCACACTATTAATAAAAGTTGCTGTTCTCTGTTGATGCTTTGCATTTATTAACAGAGGAGCAGCTGTGCCATCAGCATTAATTACACTTGATCAGAACCAAGGCCTCTCAGTCCATTGGATTTTCAATGACCCATGTATAAAAATCAAACATGATTGCGACAAGTAGGTATATAAAAACAGACTCTTTTGGAGTAGACTTTCTAGAATCCTTCAGCCGGCAACCATCGTGGCTGGGAGATTCTGGGAATTCTAGTGCAAAAAAGTAACTTTTCTAAGTTCTGGGAGAACACAGGATTCATACTAAGCTGGTAACTGGCTATGACTTTCTATTAAGTTTATGCTTGGTGGCATTCATGGGTTGCTGTGCTATACTGTACTGCTATGGTAACACTCATATAGATTCAAGCTTTCCCAGTCCAAACCACCAAATGAGGAACCAGCAAAGATTAATATATATTGCCAATGATCAAGCAAGAATGTGTTATAATATTTGCATCTAGACAGTTTTACACAGAGCCTTTATTGGAGGCTGATTAGTAAGAATATTTATTTATGAAATATTTATTAAGTAATATTTATACCTGGGAGCAGAACATAAAAAGAAAATACTAAAATTGTGTATTTGTTTCCAAAACAGTCTTTTAAAATGCCTATATATGGCAAATATTTCTTCTTGGCTACTTTTGGTCAAGATCTCTTGTTGGGCCCAAATGTAGTCCAGTATTCCTGAAAGCATGAAGTGCCGAAGCTGCCTAAGTACAAACTGAACTGTTGGAACCACAAGGGACAAACTTAAGTCTTTAAGAAGTACAGCGCAAGGAATGTTCATGCTTTTGTTGTTGTTTAGTCGTTTAGTCGTGTCCGACTCTTCGTGACCCCATGGACCAGAGCATGCCAGGCTCTCCTGTCTTCCACTGCCTCCCGGAGTTGTGTCAAATTCATGTTGGTCACTTCTGTGACACTGTCTATCCATCTCATCCTCTGTTGATGCAATGTTCACGCTTGCATTATTCTTAATTTTAGAGCCCACTCCATTGCAATGATTGCAGTGCAGAGCTCAGTGAATTATCTATACAGATGATTATCCAGATACTTCAATTTAAGTATATGGGAAGATAAGTTAATTACTCAGTGATTATACATTAAAATGTGTTACTAGTTCAGCAGACTTTCCAATGATATCTGTTGTCACTTTTGCTTGTCCAGACAGAGCAATAAATTAATTGCTGTAATAAATTAATTGCTGATGGTTTTAGTACCATCCATAACACAAGGCTTCACCCACGCCTTTCCCTTCCTTGACATGC